ACCGCCGATTTCTCCTCGAAATGGCTTCTGTTTCGTTGTCTCACCATCGATTTGCTGCCTAAAACACGAAATACCACAAATCAGAACTCAGATTGAAACTAGGTTTCAGATCTTACCTCAACACCGAGATTTTGCCGCCGATTCGCTGAGATTTGCCGTCAACGAGGCTCTGATACCACTTGTAGAGGATTCAACCTCTCGAAACCTCACCGATTCCCTCCGAGTCACTCGTTCGAACAAGAAATGAAAGAATACAGCGGAATACGAGTTCATTACCGAGTTCTAACGCTCGGTACCTACGTCTCGGGAAGAGGAACAACGTTTGCTAGGGTTACAGAAAAAAGACCGTCGGAGATCGACCGGAAAATCGACCCCGAACCACGGAGAACACACGTCCACCGAAAGAGAGAGAGAGAGAAAACCTAAAACCCGAAATCGCCCAGTCTGAGACACAAACACGAATTAGGGTTTCATTTACCCCAACAAACCAAATGACCGAATTGCCCCTCCGCGTTTTGGAATCCGACCGAAACTGAAGCTTCGAAACCTTCTACTCCGCTAAGAGAATTTGTTGAAGACTCAACAATATTTTTCAATATAGTATTGTGATGTGTTGATTTAGTTAATTTGTTATTAAAAAATAAAATGTTAGATATTACCATGGCTATTTGTATGGGAATATTACTCAAATAACCTACTTTGGTCGCAGCAATTTCAGTGTACACCACCCAAAAAAAAAAAAATTTTTTTTTCAATTTTAACCCACTTTTCGGTTGAAAAAGTCCGAAATACCCTTTTCGTTTTATTTTTTGCGACCTTATTACGACTAACATATAACTGATATACAACTAAAATAAGACAGATGATTTTTTTGCCACCTTTTTTGGAATCAATTGTAACTATATTTAGAATTAATTACGAAGTCGTAATAACGAAGTTGTTTTCGAACGGATAAAAATCGCATATTCATTAAGGGTAATTTCGTCTTTTCAACAAAAAAAAGTGTTATGTTTTTTCTGGTGTACACGTGAAATAGGTGCGACCGAAGTCGGTCATTTGAGTAAAATTCCCTATTTGTATAGGTTTGGATATTAATATAAATGAAACAATTTTAAAATACTAAAATGTAACAAAAAGTGGTGACAAAAACTGATATTACTTCCATCATAATTTAGATCATGAAAAAAACAATAATCTTCAAATTGTTTAACAATAAAAAAATATCACTGCAAATAAAAACCTAATAGATAATGTCGTTATGTAAAAGTATAGTATTAGAGTCTTTTTTAAGGAGATTTTTTATTTATTTTCACAATGATAATAATCATGTAAACATTAAAAAATCTGCGGTTTTTGCTACATGATTTTTTTGTAACGATAATTATCTCACGTGATCAAAATTATGTCAACTTGCCAATTATTTGACATTAATTTTTTCCATAAGTGATTATATTTCCACATTAAAATAGAGGTAATTGAGTAATTTAACATATTGCATCCCCTTATCACATCCTTCGCGAATATAATTCCTATAAGCATCTTTTTTTTCTTGTCCCTCTCCAAAAATTACATTTATTCTCTGTTTTGCCAAATCTCCTATCTTTTAATTGCTTTAATCCAGAAAACCATCGAAAAGATTTGATCTTTCTGTAAAAAATTCCATAACCCAATTTACAAAATTTGACATTTCCCATGAAAATTTCCAAATTTTTTTTCCTGGGGACAATAGGTTTTCATCGGCATGTTATGGTTTGAATTTCCATCCAAAACCCATCATCTTTATCATATTCTCCTTCGTTTCGCTTTTTGATTTTGACTCAATCGCTTCTTCTAATCCCGCGATCGAAAAACCCGACCCGACAACCATGAGAATCCATCATTTGCCCAGGAAGCGGAACAACATCCTGATCCATTACCATTCCCGCTATCCGAGTATCCGAGAACCGTCAAGAAGCTCCGGCGATTGGCCCACATCTTCAACCGGGTCCTGGAGCTTCCGCTCAGGTTCTGCGTCGATGTTGTGGTGGAGGAGATGCCCGACTGCTTTATGTTCTCGACGGAGATCGACGGATTATCCGCTGAAAATGGCGAAGGGAGGGCCCACATGGTGGAGATCCATCCCGGTGTGATGAAGATAGTTGTCAGAGCAAATGGGTCGTCGTCGACGTCTTCTCTAGGGGAAAATCACTCAAATGACCCACTTGGGTCGCATATATTTCACGTGTACATCACCAAAAACATAACACATTTTTTTTCTTTGAAAAGACGAAATTACCCTTAATGAATACACGATATTTATCCGTTCGAAAACAACTTTGTTATTACGACTTCGTAATTAATTCTAAATATAGTTACAATTGATTCTAAAAAAGGTGACAAAAAAATCATCTGTCTTATTTTAGTTGTATATCAGTTATATGTTAGTCGTAATAAGGTCGCAAAAAATAAAACGAAAATGGTATTTCGGATTTTTTCAACCGAAAAGTGGGTTAAAATTGAAATTTTTTTTTTCCGGTGGTGTACGCTGAAATAGCTGCGACCCAAGTGGGTTATTTGGGTAAAAACCCCCTTCTCTAGGTCCGCCATTGTTGGACAAAAGATTATTGTGTGCCGTTTACGTTTTGTTGATTACACTCATTTATAGGTAACTTAAAAATAAATACATTTAACTTAGTAAGACATTAAAATTAATTCTATACATTTAACTTACCGAAAATAATCATTGATTAAAATTGATAGATGAAAATGAACTGAATCGGATTAAAATTAAATGAATCAGCATGAATATCAATTACTTTTATTGTAAAGTTAATTAACATAATGTTAGTATTAATGTATGGAGAATTAATCTTCCGCATTAGAATGGTTGAATGAATGTATC